CAGCAGCATGTATGGAGTGCATCCAACCCACAGAGAGCGCAGATGCAGCTGCTCCATAAAAGCTTCTGAAATATCCTGTGTCTGACATAAATAAAAGTGACCTTTAGTATCAATCTCCATCTCTGTCTGCCAATAATTGGCTAGCCATTTTCTAAAACAGCAAGCATACACAGCATGCTTGGCACAAATTTCTCCAGAGAAGAAAGGGTTTCGTAATTCTTTATGCCTTCCGAGTATCTTTATGCAGTATGTAGATGTTCGCATACAAATCCCCATGTGGCTATATATGTATATACACATATGTACAGTGTGCAGTGGTATCTTTCACACAGCAAAGCAACACTTGCAGTAATTTAGTGTACCAGCCTGATTCTATTAACATACTGGAATAAACCAGGGCAGATGCACCTAAACTGGCCAATATGTAAGTAGTGGCAAACTGCTTTCAGTGAAGAGTTGGGTGTAGATTGCCTAGCTAATCCAGAAGATGGAAGAAAGAGCTTTAGACAGTTGAACAGTGCTATCCATCTTGGAATAGAAGCCAGGAAATTGGTTAATTTTCATTTTGAACTTCACGTCTGAAAGGATAAGGCAGTCAAATTTTAGCATGCAGCTTTCTGTTTTGATTTAAAAATAAAGCTGATCTAATAGTTTGTGAATGAAAAAAAAAATTAGAAACAAATTCTTGTCACTGCAGTTTGTAATATTTTATGAAAATCACTACAGGATTTACTGGGTGAGTTCTAGTAGCTGAAAATATTATTTGGATATTAAAAATATACTCTAGGAGCTACATACGTTTTCTGTGAAATGCTTATGGCAATTTCATTTCCTATGATTTCATATTTATTAAATATCACTTTTGTTCTCGAGGTATGTGATCTCTGCAGTCTGAATTGAAAGCATGTCTGGAAGGGACTCATACAGTATTCTTGCTTTGTTTTGTATCTTTACATAAAATAGCTTTGATTTCATTGCTTTTTGCATCATTGAGTGCTTTTGATTATCTGCATTTTTAAAATGAGTTACTCTTACATCACAGGTTCACTATTGTTAGTCTGTTGGGGGTCCTTGATTAGCTGCTAGCAAGTTCTCCTTTTCTTCTGCTTCCACTTCCGTGCTGTGGTTGGAGAGTCAGTGATCCTGATAAGAAATGTTGGGAATTCCATGTGATATTCTGGCATGTGTGCTTGCTCTGAATGTGTCTCTCACACATTCACAATGTCATACAAAAGTTTCATTTGCTATTTACCACTCTTCTCCTGAAGAGAATAGCAAGGTACTAACCTATAAGGGAACCTCTGCATTTAATGGTTGTTTTTTTTTTTTTGCCATTCTCCAATAAAGCATACAGAGTAGGAACTGTAAGTGTTTATGGTCAGTATCGAGAAGCAGTCATTAACTCTTAACATTTTTCCCAGATTGTTGTAAACCATGTTGAGCTATCTGTGATCTGACAAGCTGCTGATTATTTTTCCCATGCCCAAACGTGATTTTCAGCTTCTTTTTGTAATGTACGCCAAGACACTAACAGACAGCTCGGATCACGCGTATTCAGCCAAATAATTGTCACTCAAACAACAGCTTTGTAATGATACGTGCTTTTTGTCAGCATCAGTTTTTGTTTTATAGAGTAACATTTTCTGTAATTCTCTCAGGGGACTAGGAATTATCCTTAAGCTTGCTAGCAATACTGGGTGCTCCTTTTGTGGCTCAATTTGTCTTACTGTAGATAATGCAGAGATTCCCAAATAGTGTAGCCTATGGTGGGGATGTTCCTGCAGGTCAGCGAAGATGCGGTTTTGACATCTTCAGGCTCTCCAAGGAGGTGGTTGAATTACTATCCCTGGATGTGTTTAAAAACCGTTTGGATGTGACGCTCAGTGACGTGACCTAACAGAGGGCTGTTAAAGTTAGGTAGTATGGTTAGTCATGGTTGGACTTGATGATCTTTAAGGTCTTTTCCAACCTGAGTGATTCTATGATTCCCACTCACAGAGACTGAAAGGTCCCTGCAGCTTCTTTTCCTGAGACTATTGGGTAAAGTGAAGTGATAGATATCTTGCAGTTTTGCAAGAAGAGAATGAACTTTGCTCAGCTCTTGGAAAAAGTAGAAACCAATTCCTGTCAGCCCTCCTCAGTGGAGGTGGCTCTCTGCAATGTTCAGATCTTCAAGCATGTTAAGATGCAATGTAATTGAATTACTTGTTAAAGATCTTGGAGGTATATTTAACCTAAATCAACAGCAGTTTAGAAATAATTGTCCATAGGATTCACAGATTTGCTAACAGGGAAACTGTCTGCAGAAGTGAATCTGATTTGCCCAATGGCTTGGCCATTTCAGTGGTTGTTTCTGCAAAGGTGCTGAATAGGAGCTGTTTGATATATATTGATTTGATATATATTTTCCCCTTAGCTTTCAAGATTTAATCAAAATTTCAGTAACAATAAAAGGGAGAGTTTTTATGCACTTACAGAGTTTCTGAACAATCACTGATAATATAACTGTCTGGAGCCAGACAGTGCTGGCACTTGTAAGTTGAGTGAGGTATTTAATCTGCAGGGTAGATCTTAGCTTTGACTTCTTCATTATTACTTTAAAATTAACAATTTTATTTTGGGTCCAACCAGAATTATGCTGCATACTTGGATGCTGAACTATTTATTTTCAATCAGATACAGACCAGGATACAATGACCTTCATCAGCCTGAAGTGTTCATTAATGTGCACTCTGAATTAACTGAAAATAAAATAAATAAGAATCCCCAACTCACTGAAAAGTCTGCATCACAAGCATAAGCTTTTTTTGTAGGAATTTGTTAAAAAGCTTAGGTATTTTTTCCTACTTATATGCAATGGTGGTGGGAGGATTGCATTTTGCGCATCTGTTCTTTAACATTAATATGTCTGGAGAGCTCAACTCAAAGTAGTATGAATGCTTTTAACGTCAAAATGCAAGTATTATCTTAATGCAAAATCATAGGATTGGCTTATAGGTGTGAGTAAATTCTACATGGGTCTGAAGAAATGGTTTATTACAACACACCTTACAAGTTAAAGGATCCATCTCGTCTTGTTTTCTGCATCTAGTAGTTTGTATTTTAAAGGAGCAAGCAACATCTAAAAATAAAGCAAGAATGGAGGAAGAAGAGTTCCTCTCTTGACTTCTGCAGGCTGAAAATGTATGCATTTTATTTAGCATTTGAAATGTAGCTAGCATTTGACAGTTAACTTGCCTTAATCATTCTGTTAATAAAAATAATTGTACAACCTTGAGCTCTACTGCTGATCACTGCAATCTGTTTACAGCATGATCCATGGGGATCACTGTTTTCCTGGGTTTTGCTTAACATTGCATTTTTTTTACCGGTGCCGATGTATAATGTGACTGTGCTGATGAACGCGTTTTGTTATTGATCCAAGAGACCTTTAAGATGATCTAATTCCAACCCCACTGTTGGACAGGGGGACACCTGGCAGGGATACCTCCCTCTAGACCAGGTTGTTCCAAGTCTCATCCCACTTGGCTTTTCATGTTTTTTCTTTTTCCTTACAAAACTTATCAGTTTTCTTGCCGGGTTAAAGGCACTGAATCACCGGTGCCTCTTGACACTTTGTCCAACAACAGGCAGGTCTGAGCTCTTTGCCTTTTCCCATTTGAGGTAATAAGGAAAGCTCCTGCTGACTTCCAGGCTAGGTGAAATACAGCCTTGGGTAACTCTATGGATGCTTGCCAGTAGAATCAAACTCTTCTGTGTGTGCTTCTAAGCTTTCACATCAGCACCAGCTTGTGACTGTGGACAGTCCTGAGTGTGTAATAATTAATAAGAAGTAGTGCGCGTATGTGTTTTTTCTGGTCTGTGTGGGCTTTACTGTGTGAAATTCTGTTTAGAATGCATATTTGTATAAAGGCATTTCTTCTGAGTTTCAGAGAAATTGTGAGCAACAGATGGACTGTCTATGTGTGAATGTATGTTCAGCTCACGCCTGCCAAAATGCAATAACAGAGGTAAGATAATTAAGTATGGGATGACACAGTATATGTACAATTCAGATTGAAAATGCGTACCCAAATCAATACACAAGTGAACTCTGGGGCCAAAGTACCTACTGAACTGACCATACATACACAGTAATAGTGCTTGACAGCTAAAAGGTCTCCAGGGATCACATTAGCATCTGGCCCCCCTACTCATAGGTAGAGAAGCATGGGTGCCTCTTTGGGACAGTTTACCATACGTAGTGTTGTATACATGTGTACACACAAAAACACACATAACATACAGGAAAGGAATAAAGTGCCTGAAAAGTGAGTATCAGGAGCCTTCTGGAACTATTTTGAATTCATAGAAAAAGAAGTTGCAGGTTTCTAAATTGCTGTGGAACGAGTAAATAATGAGAACGTTGTTATATCCTCATATATGCTTTGGATATCAAATAATTATTGAACTTCAGGAGATGACCCAAAACAACAGAAATAAGTCTCAAAAGAGAAATAAGAAGGCAGAACTCTCCACTCCCAGTACTTAGTATCCAGGCCTTTTTAACAATCTCCTCATGCTGTTTAGATCCTGACTTTTAGTTAAGGATTGCACACTGCTTAAGTAACTGCGTAGATAACAGCAATAACATCCCAACCCTGGATTCTGAGCACAAGCAGTGGCAGAATTGCAGGTGATGGATCTAGCTTAAGGCTCAGGGTCTGGCTTTTACACTTGGCTAAGTTAGAATTCAGGTGTTTGATGTCAATGCTACTGTTGCTTCCCCTTTTTGTAACACCCCCTCCTCTTTTTCCCAAGGTATTGAGATCCTCAAGCAGTGGAGCAGATGAAGTTTATTTTTTTTATTTTTAAAAGGTATTTTTATCCAAAGCTCTCAGAAGATCTATAACTTATCACAAACAAAAGTGCTCTGAGGGCTAACATATCCAGTTTATCACAAATGCCAAAACTGAGGCAAGGAGATAAAAAGAGCGTTCAGTAAGCAGGCACAGTGAGACTTGCATTTGAAAACTTTTAATTTATTCTAGATAGTATCATTTATATTACTGTGTGTCTAATCCCATTACTTGGATCTGTTTTCAGTTGCTTTCAGGTAAGAAGTATGGCTTTGTTTGGTTTTTAACATAATTACTGGTTGAAGATTTTACTGAATTTTTACCTACTTGGGGAAAAAGAAGTTATTATAAGGCATAGCACTTGATTACACTTAATTCCAGTGTAACCACATTGTGTTAGATTGTTCATATTTCCAGGCATTCTGACTAAAAGATGATTAAGATGAGACAAATAGGTTAAAACTTCTTTATCATCAAAGTCAAGTGCTACATAAACTAGTTATAAGGCTGCTTGCGTTTTGGATCCTGAGCAATATAAAGAGCAACACATTCCTCAGATCTCTTCCAGCAGTACCTGGGAAAACAGAGATAACCCAATGTGTGTGGGGGAATATGGGATGACAAACCATCCACACAAACAACTAATGTGCTTATGCTGCTGAGAAGCAGAGAAATTACAAACAGGTTCTCTTCTGCTTAAACTTGTTCTGTATTGGTATGTCTTGTTATATTTTTGGGAACTACTCTATGTCATCACCCATATAAGCCAAACATCATGACACAGTAGGGAAGAATTTCTCTTCTTGTGATCTCAATGACATGAGGGTTGAAACAGATAAGCACAGATATTTTTTAGCAACGTAAGTAACCAAAATATTTGTGTATAAGAGTATTTGTGTCTTGTGGTCAAACACTGTCACATTAGCTTTTTATGCTAGTTTCTGAGATGGCCAGAGATCAGTATCAGTGTACAGTAGCGACACACACAATAACATGTATCTGCTGCAGAAAACTGGTAAATGTCTTAACCCAGAATGATCTGTGCTGGCAAGTCTCTGCACATGCATCATGCCAGGACTTTGAAAACAGTCTCATTCATTGGACTGCAGGATTGGGAACTAAATAAAGTGATTTCAAAGAGGTGGAGGAGGTGAGTGTATACTAGAATCACAGATGTAGAGAGGCTCTACGCAGCTGGACAGTTTCAGATCTTTCAACAACTGTTTCTGGTGTTAGTGATTAGCAAAAATAATCACTACTACTCAATAGTTGGTTTTTGGTTTTTTTCGCTTTTTTTTTTTTTTTTTTTTTTTTTGCCTTTTTTTTCCTGTAAGAAACAAGGCCACTTATAGCCATATATCTTTAATCTACTGCACTGCATTACCGGTGAGCATACATCCTTCTTCAGGGTGGGCACTTCATCAGTCTATGTCACTTTTCACAAGATTGGCAAATACTTTCCCTTTCTGTTCTCTCTGGAAACTGTTTTCACCGGTTTTTCTTTTACTAATATTTTATGTGTCATTACCATGAAATAGCCCTATGAATCTTACTCCAGGAGGAGAGCTGTGCTCTTGGCCTGGCACCCAAACCATGTTTTTGTTTTTGTTGATCAAGGCTGGTTGGAAGTTTAGAGTATCTGCTATGAGTGTATTCTCACTTTTCTTCATGATCTTTTGCAGGTTGTTTTTTCTTGACAGTGTTTTTATTGTATTTTTCCCCAGCTTAAACATTAGGGGAAAGCTAGATGAATGCCTGGCTTTGTTTGCTCCAGAATAGACTTTTGCCCTAAGGAGTAATGCAGACTATCGCAAATCCTGCAATCTCAGAGGCTGTGTTTCTGCAGGAGACAATGCACAGCTTGGTATGGACTAAATACACAGAATTTATATTGTTGGAGTCTGGGAAATCATTCATCTCTACTCACAAACTCTGGGCACGGACAAGAAGGCTATCACCAGCAGTTAGAGTCAGAGTTTTGCCATCCACAGTAATGGTAGATGCACCCTCCTAAAGGGAAAGAACAGATAGTCAGCTTTTAGTTATGTGTTCTGTCGTGAGTAAGAAGAAAATTCTGCAGGTAAGTATGGAAATATTTTCCACTGAAGGAGCACTTCTAACTTGCTCAGTTTTATGAGGACTAGATAAATATTCAGCTGATGTTCCCTGTCTGACACTATTAGCATCAATAAAAACATGCTTCATGGTTCATTGTTCCCCATCACAAAGCAGCAACTTATTGCTTGATATCTTGGGGATATGCTGCAACCAATCCAACCAGAGGTGCAACTCTCTGGAAAATTACAGAGGGAACATTCAGGAGTAATTCAAACTCCTTTTCGACTTTTCTGACTTCCTACTACCTTTTTACATCTTGAAAAGTAGTCCATGAGTCAGCAGGGAGCTGATAGAAATCACTAATGGGAGTTCATCTACACTAGAACACACTTCTCATTATCTTGTCAAGCAGAGGAACCAGATTCCTGCCAGCAACACGGTCTTGATTGCACGGTCTGCTGCGAGCTGCAGTGTAAACAAGTGTCTTTCAAGATTGTTATGTCTTTAATTAGTAGTCGATGGTCCCCATGAATTTCAGCAGAATGGGAAGTGATAGAAACATCTGCTCCACAAGCTAATCTGACTTGCTTTTCTCTGCAGTGTTTTGCTTGAGCTGCATTTCCTAGAAGCCACTAGAAAGAAGGGCACGTGGATCACCTACTTCTGTGCTTCAGTATAAACAATTTCTCAGATTGTTATTGACTTTGTCTGCCTGATTCCAGTTGTCCTACAGTATGTGGACAAATGCTTCAAGGCAGAAGTAACTGGTGATAGCTTTTATTATATAGAGGCATACTCATATATTTAGAAGATATCCCCTAGCAGAAATAAGAATCCTCACCAAGACCTGATGGAGGATGGCAACAGTTCCATATTCAACATACAAGGTGAGGGAAAAGAGGTGGTATTTTTAAGGTGGTAGTAATTTACAGTTATTTTTCACGAAAGTTTAAAGCCAAAAAAAGTTTCCTTTTTATGACGATTTCCATTACAAAGAAAGTAATAATCAATTTCTGTTGCTCTTTCCAGGAGGCTGTACTACTGCTCAGTTTGCTCTGACTGGAAATATGAACTCAAGGGTTAACAGGTATAAACTGAATTGTCACATACCAGCTGCCATATCCAGATATCTGAATTCTTTTTGCATTTTTCAGTTGTTCCTGGTCCATAAGCTATAACCTGGAAAAAAAAAAAAAAAAAAAAAAAAAAAAAAAAAAGGGAAGAAAAGTAATAGATTCATCCCCACGAGTGAAGTGTACATATTCATGTTCCTACAGCACTTAAACATTCTATTTTTAAAGAAAAATGTTCATAGAATCTGTCATTATTTTTACAGACATTAAAATTCACATTACGTTTTGTATTCTCATATTGATTCCTCCTGATAAGATAAAAAGGGAACTGATCACACCTGCCACTCCTTATGCTCCTCTGTATCCTCGCTTATCTATTCCTACTGCCTCCTCCCACTCCCAGCTTGGCATCAACATCCTTCCTGCTTCTGTTCTGGGAACAGGCACTTCCTCCTTGTGAACTCTGGGCCCTGTCAAGAGGCTGCTGAAGTAAAGAAGATTCTTCCAACAACATTAAAAAGGCTGTGGATCAGACCTTATTTTTCTTCACTGTCTACCTTCTCTGTGTTCTTCGTGACAGACCCATGCCCCCTGTCACTCTACTGTCAGATAGATTGGATTCTTCAGAGTGTGACTTCAAGTAACCCAGGGAGATAGTGTTTTGTAAACTGTTTTGCTGTCAAGTGCTGACAGCTTCATTTGCACCCAAACTGGACTGTGTTTGACTGACCAAGAAGTGCAATGCTCTAGCATGGCCCTGGCCCTTGGGTGCTGTAAAGTTCTCTTTGTTTCCATGTTATGTAGGTTAAGAAGAGAAAAAAAAAACACTGTGTATTTACACATTCAAATTGGACTTGGCAACAAGAATGCTGTAGAAACATACTGGGAAGCTAAGCACACTTGTGAGTAGTACTTGCATCATGATGATATTTTTGATTCAAGAAATATGGGAGCGAGGGATGGAGAGAACTCTTTTAGTCCCAAAGGAAGTGAATGGAAATCAGACTCAGGTTGATTCTGCACACAGCAGTGGCTGAGATAGCAGGCCCCTGCCCTACATTCAACCACGGCAACGGACAACAGTGGGCTTGTACAGGGGCCAGGCATGCTAAGGGGGAACTGCTCTCTAAGGGTGCATAGTTTTCTCTGTCGTGAGGCCTGGATTCATACAAGGCACCTATTATCTGTACCTTTAAAAATCTCTCACTCTTTTATAGCAATTTAAGCTCCTACCTCCGTTTCAAAGGTATCTCCAAACATTCTCAAGGATTGCTTCCGATTTATTTCTCCCCGATGATCATTCAACCAGCCTTGCAAGGAGAATGGCTCCATTACAGAAGAGCAATTTAGTGGGAAGGGTGTTTCTTTCAGGAGCTCATCTATAAAAATGGCAGAGAGCTGTCGGTCACATTTCTCTGGATCTTTACAGAATTTTCCTGTTGCTTACAGCTTGAAGGGCTCATTGTACAGACATTGTCTAGTTAAAAGACCATGACCATAGCACTGTTTGTTGCCACAATTATCATAACAGTACTTGAGGTTAAGATGTGTGTCTTATTTGGAATCTAGATGAGGTTGCTTCTCTGTAGCTGTTGTCAGAACTGTTATATGTCCAGGCTTAAAAATACATTTGAAAAGTAGTGTATAGTTTTTGTTAATGTGTTCTTTGTTTCTTTCAGACAAGCTTGTGTCTTTGTACAAAACTGATATGTCATTTCTGACCTTTGCTGAGTCACTTCTTACACATCCCCATGTGAGTGGAATGAGACAACACAACCACCCTGCTCTCACAGAGTCAGTACTGGCTTTTGTGCTTCTTCTCCCCTGGGTGTTATTTAATACACTGTCCACAGTGAAGCCAACTGGCTATCACTTTAAGTTTAATAAAAGGCTTTTCTTGTGGTGTTCCTGGGTTTGTAGGTGGATTTAATTTCTAGTAATTTTCCTTCAGATCTGATTTAATTTAAAATAGCTGGAGGACTGAATACAATTTAACTGTAGCTAGTAAAATTCAAGATTTGTGCTGTGTGTTACTGCTATATGAAATTAACCTTAGTCATTTTCCAGCTCAAAGTGAAATGCAGAGACAGTGCGGTCACCTTGGGGATCCTAGGTAGTCTGTCCTGAGAAGCCACCGTGAAATACCTCTAGAACAATTTCAAGTAATTATGCCAGCCCAGATGCAGGAAAAACTTGTTAGATGGCTGTCTCCCGAAGGCATCAAGCTCATGACCTCACAGCCAAATTTATTCTCAAATAAAATTTGAGATATTTTATTTCAATCATAAGAAGAGTAGGTTTTATTAAGTATCAGTATATTCCTTATTCAGAGTTGTTCTGATTCTTTCTAAAGCGATCCTTCACTGCTCTGCAGTATTTTGAATGCATCCCCACAGGCTTTCAGGAGAAGCTATTCCAGATGCACCTTTGAACGATGTATGAAAATGTGGTCAGTGCATCTAAGGCTCAGCAGTTTGCTGCATAAGCTGCTCTCATTTAATGGATCATAGTATGCACCAAGTGTCTATATTAATCTTTCTTGCTTTATAAGATTACAATTTTAGTGATTTATTTTCACAGCATATGTCTGTTATTGTTTTCTCACTTTTCACAGGTCCATCAAGTTTCCTTTGGAGGTGATTAGAAACACTGCACATTGCCCTTAAATTATGGATACACTCAAGTGCAGCTGTACTGCAAAGTAGTTTTTTAGTTAGAGACAGCTGCAATATAAATGTCTAAAAAACCATTGTGATTCAAATTCACACACAGATCAAAATAACAGAAATATGAATGTCTCAAATATCATCAGAAAGCATATTCATACACAAGAAGAAAAAAATAAAGAAGTTTAAACAAAAGGTATTCAAACCAATGAGTTTCAAATAGACTTTAAAATATTTTGTTTCACCATTGGTAAGAGTCTTAATTTTCTAAATCAATATGAAGACAGCAGAGATCTCTCTACAGATTTTTTCTGTTATTGGAATAAAACAAACCCCTTCAGTGTAGAAAAGCCTTTCTGAATACAGGAAAGTTAGCAGCTGGTAGGGTTAGTAAAGTATATATACATATATTATTTGGTAATAAATACATGTGTGGGAATTGCTGAGTCTTGGCCTGAACCACTGATTGATCACCTGGGGAAAGGACCAGGTCAGTTCTCGGAGCACAGGTGAAGGCAATTCAGCTGTGTGACTGGAAGGGGTGGAGCCTGGCTGTACCTCTCTTAGACCCCATTTAAGGGGTGACTGAGAAGGGAGAAGAGATTTCTGGAGATCTCTCCTTTTGGAGTTTTCTACTACAAGCCTAGGGTGGGGGTGAGTGTTTCATTTTTGATAGTCTCTTTCCTCTATGATAATCTTTCTAATTATAAATCTGCAAAATATCATCCTACCTATGCCACTCTTCTAACTGTACATTTCTTAATTTTACTATATGTGCACAAAAACATAAATATGTTATTTTCATATATATATATACTTATATATGTATATATATATATATATAAATACCATAAGAATCCTGCTCAGCATCACAGGATGCATCTTCTCCACAGATCAAGAATTCTAGTATCGAGTAAAGAAGTCAGTTCTGGCTTTGTTTGCTGGAGAGTGAACAGGCTGAATTTCTAGAGTGGGTACTGTGATATCACAGAGGAAGGATACTCTATAAACGCATGGAATTTGTGGGTTAAAAAAAAAGCCAAAATATTCCTTTGCAAATTAGACAAGAAGCAAGGGGAATCTAATAATGAAAAGTAATTATAACCTTCTGAGGTAGTACCTTAACTTCTTACTCTTAGTCAAAGTAGTTTTGCTTGCCTTCGTAATTCTTGGGATCTCTGACTCCAGCTATGCTGTTCAACAGGACATCTCATTGTACAGGACTACAGGAACGCAATTTACACTTTGTCTTGAGCATATATAACACACTCTATGCTTATTACAGTGCACTGGTTTTTTTTTGGTTTTTTGTTTGTTTTTTTTTTTTTGCTAAGTGTCCATGAATCACAAGTACAACTTAATTCCAAGTGAATATGAATAATTTTTTAAATTTAATCCTTGCCCTAAAGAACTGATGATCAGTCTTCTGATGCTTTCTTGTCAGTGGGACGTAGTGATGAGTTCAGAGCTTATTCCTAATTCTGAAGTTAACACCACTTAACTGGTAATAGTGTAACGGCCTCTGAAAACTGAGTTTGGACAAATTGAATTTTTAACTTGACCCCATCTAATGGTTCTGTTACTGGTTACTGCAGGACAAATAGGAGGGTGCTCTGATGATGAAAAATGTGGTATGATATGTCTGATGTATTACTCTTGTATGTTAGTTTTCAATAACAAGAAATGTGATTTGGCTTGTTTCCAGAGTTCTTATGTTGCATTAGTATTGTGAGACAGAAACCTCAATGATTGTGAAGGTGAAAATTATGCTAACAAAATGTAGGAAGATGGCAATTCTGCACTAGTCAGCTGAAAGCTCTTCATATTTATCTGAATGATGAATCATTGAGTGGAAAACCAAATCTAACATATTCCAAATGTACTGTTCAGGAGATCCATTTAAATAGTTCTATAGTTCATTTTTTGGACCTGATTATTATCAAATAAATATCCACAGCAACGTTCTTTATGGTTTTTAGTACTTTTTTCAGTTTCGAATTAGAATGCGATGATATTGTGTATGGGAACTGTTAGGTCTTTGCCTGAACCAGTGATTGAGCACCTGATGGTCAGCCCTAGGAACACAGGTGGAAGCAATTCAATTGTGTGACTGGAAGGGGCGGAGTGAGGTTTACCCCCTCTCACACACACCTCGTTTAAGGGCTGGCTGAGACAAGAGAAGCCTCTCTACTTAGTGATTGTCTTCTTTGGAGTGTTTGGCAAGTCCTGATGCTTGGGAAGGGGTTAAGTGGTTCCTTATATATTTGGTATATAGATAGATATTATATATCCTTATACATCTTATAATAGATAATGACTTCTATTTTGGGGGGTAATTGAAAATGGTTTAAAGCAGCTGTATTTGCTATCACATGTGTTTGTGTTATGTTAAGCTGAAAAAATGTTGTGTTTGCTGAAAGCACTGTTCTTGCTCATTGTGAAAGCCTTTCCACCTTGAGTGGTGCCTGTCTCTGTGGGCTGTGGTCTTATCTCTAAGTAAAACCATCAGGAAAGCCCCTTTGCAATAGTGTCACTTGCTGTAGTAGCAATAAACATCTATATCCATAAGGGAATGTTTAGATCCTCTTATCCTTTAACTGAGCATCAACATGGTCTAGGCAAGGGCTAAGGAGTTATTTTAGAATTGTGTGTTTTATTTCTATCTACTTTATTATTATCCCTTCCATCTCTCAAGGGATGCTATATAATAGTGAATATTTCTGTCGTGACTCTTCTTGCAGTTTCATGTTAAATTGCCAATGCTGGCAATAATATATACCCTGGGATGTTTTTCCCTGCGTGTTCCTACCTAATTCCTGGAGTAGCCATTCTCAATGTTAATGGAAATGTCAATGAGACTAGTAGGAGTTTAATACCTCTGCAAATTAATTTAAAACATGTGGACTGCAAGACAGAAATTTAGACACCTGGATTTAGGAAAAAAAAAAATAGTGAACTTATTCCATATAAAAATTCAGAGCTAAAGCACCAATGATTATTACTTTGGAGTTAGTTGGTTCATTTCACTGTTGCTGAGTATAGAAGTGGAAAAATTCAGCTGAAAATGCAGCATGCACTGGGTGTAATCATTCTTTTTCCAGTGTAACTGTATTTATTTTTGTAGCATGCCCTGAGAATTGGTGTGACTGCTAATTAATGACTTGTCCATGTTATTATTTCTAGGCACATTTTTCTTTGTGTCATTAAATCTGTGCTAAAAAATAAACACTTTCTTAATTGAAACAGAAGTTTGATGTGGAAAGCTTTGAACAACATTACTGTAATAAAGAAATACTGCCTCTCCAAAAGGAGATATCATCATCATCATCATCATCATCATCATCATCATCATCATCTTCCAGAAGGAAGAGGGTAAATTAAAACAACAAAATTGCAATATTTAATCTTTCTGCTTAAAGGCTTATTGCAATATAACAGCGTCACTGTAATTAAGAATGCCAGGCTTTAACCTTTGACCAGGATTCGGAGTACAATCTTAAAGTTGGAAAACTTACCTACTGTTTCTGAACCTGCCTTTTATGCGGCTGTGGGCATCTCATTGTCTCCTATGGAAGAGGAAGTGCCATAAGCCCTCTCTACATTTGTGGGATGAGGCTTTGTACAGCCTGTGTGAGCTATAATTACTAAATAGCCTCAGAAACTCCAGTGAAAATGTCAGACTGACAGTGTGAGTTGTCTGTTTTGGTTGTTGCTGTCTGGGGAATGTTTAACAGTGAGAGGGGAAAAGGTAGCTACCTTATTAGAGAAGATGTACCTGCTGTGAGACTGCTCTGAGCTTTAGAGCTTTTTAAAACACTAGATTTTTTTTTCCTGAAGTCTGAATGGAAAGGAAACAATTTTATATGGCATTTCTTCCAATTTTCATGGCAGGTTTATTATATACATTATGTTCTTAAAGGTCAGCAGTGTCTTGCTTCCTATGGTGAAGCACAAGGACAGCTCTCAGATTGCAGTTTATGTTCTGCCTCCCCTGCAAGAGAATCCGCTGAGGATATTGCAGGAGAAGCACTCTTCTTCTTGGAGACCTTGGGTTTTTCTTTGGTGCTGTCATAAGTGGTTCTGAGTCCTGAATCAACTCCTGGTTCCAAGGAACTTGCAGCACTACTTGCTTTTGGGTGATACATTTAGGTTTGGGATAGAAGAGTTTAACACCAGTTTTATAAGGCAGCCAGTGTACTCTGGATGATGTAATACTTCTTTATTGGTCTACTAAATGTTGCTAACTTAGGTTAGTTGTGATCTATCTGGTTTGTCTGAACTCTTCATTGCTATTGTTGGCTTTATACTCCTTGTAGTGATATATATCCGTGGTATGGAGCGTTTTTAAATATAAAGGAAGGGGAATGGATGAAGCGAAAGAGGTTGCATAATTAAGTGCGATTGTAGGTACATGTTAGATGACTCTAGTCTCTTCCAGGCAGCCTTTGGGAGAGAGATGAATGTGGCCTGGGAGATTCTTACAGTTTCCTGTGCAGTTATGTTTGGTCCAGGCAATTCAAAATGCTTGACTATTTTTAGTCAGCTTGAATACTGCTCTGTCCTGTACACTTACTGCTGGCAGTTTGCAAAGTACATTGCCAAGGGGAGTATTCCTACTATCTAAATGCTCACATGCTGCTGCTTGTAATAAGTGTATGTGAAGCAGAAAGAAGACAAGTAACACTGCAGATATGTGGGAAGTACCTAAAAGATGAGAGAAGAGAATCAAAAATTCCCTGTTATGATCCATTTCTAGCCTAAGTATTAAATCCTCCTTGAAAAAGGAAAGAGAGAAGTTTTCTCAAGCCCTATTACAAATGGTTAACAGAAGAGGCTAATAATTTGGTACAAAATCTTTCCAGGAAAGGTGCCTCAAGTAAGGATTGCCTGTAAAGTATGTTTCTGACTGATTATATTTCACCTAAATGTGCTTGTCTAAAAGCAGGTCTTGTTAATGGCTACTCCTGCCTCTTCATGTATTCTGAGTATCCCACTCCCTACTTGGAAGAAGACTTTCTCTACTGTTGGCTAAGCCAGAAAGCATAAATAAATAAAAAGTCTGGACATAGACATGGAGGCTCTTTTTTTGGTTTTACATTAAAAAAAAAAAAAAAAAAAAAGGCAATTGGACCTTGATTCCATTTATAGCTTTCCTGTATGAGTGAACTGCAATCAAGGTTTTCTTTGAAGATGTTTTTCTTTCATTTATCCCTGAAGAGAGGAGGCAATATTTCTGACTTATGTATAAATTAAGTTGAGAGTACTTCAGATGGCACTTCAAAAATGAAGAGATTCTGGATTTTCTGAGGAGAAATTGAAAGAAGAGGCTGAAATCCAGCCCTTTGCATAGACCAATTTTAATCTTACAAGTGTTATGCTGGTTGTTGGCATCTGCTTCTTAAGAAGGCAAGAAGACAAAAAAAAAAAAAAACAAAAAACAAACAAACAAAAAAAAAAACAAAAAAAAAAAACAACCTGCTGAGGGAATAGATCCAAAGCATTATTTCTGTCATTGCTGTATAACTATAAAATTTGCCATCTTTTTTTTCTGTGCACTATGGCTTTCAACTTCTTAGTGTCCAACAAAACTAAACACTGAAAAAACTGAGAAGCTACCTAGGCTGAAATCCAGCCATATAAGTTTGTCTGCCTTTTGCCTGTAGCTAGAGTTAGGATACAAACATTTTAAGTATTTGTTGTCTTGACTTAGAAGCTGATGTATGGATTACAGAATCACAGAGTGGCCTGGTCAGAAGGGACCTCAAGGATTATGGATCTTCAACCCTCCCTGCTACAGGCAGGGCCATCGACCTTCACATGTAATACAAGACCAGGCAGCCCAGAGCACCATCCAATCTGGCCTTGAACACCTTCAGGGATGGAGCAGAATCCATTCGGGGGGAAAAAGGTGTATTGAGTTCTGAGCAAAATAGGAACACTGACTTGCTTTATTTATTTCCTGTGTCTTGAAAAGGCTTTTTTCAACTTTAATTGAGTTTCTCATGCCTTTTGGCCTCTGTAAAGCTTTTTGAATGGCTTACAAGGAAAAGCTCATTTACTGGATTTATCAATAACTTTTCAAACATTTTTTAAAGAGTATTGAGGATACCATAACTTCTGATTGTCAGGTCTATTCTTTCACTCTCATCTTCTGCAAAAGTATTGACAAAATAAATCTTAGTTCTTTTTGTCTGCTTTGATATAGGTGATTTGCTTCTGGTATGATATTATGATTATTGTTACTAAGATGATCATTATGGTCCTTTTCAACCCAGGCCATTCTATGATTCTATAATATGATTCTATGATATAAGCAGTTAGTTCACACTGATGAGGGATACTTAGTGGAAATCTATGTATTGAACACAGATAGTACGTGTGAGAAGATATTCTTTTTATTACAGCAGCATCTAGAGGCTTCACCTGAAATCATACTTTCTGTGCCAGTCATTGTGAAAGCACAATGAAAGAAAGCAGCTGTTCTGATATCTCCTCATTTCCAAAAAGAAAAAACACAATACAACTTAAAAAAGCAACTAGGCAAAAGATAAATATAAGGGTATTACTCTTCTGTGTGTTGGATTAGCAAAGCATGTCATACAGGTAATCTAGATCTGTGAGTGCTAATGTAGTGCTTTACCTGTAATCAGGACTATCTCAGACAGCTGTGATGGTTACCTTCTGGGAGTCTAGAAGAGCTCAAAGTAAACTAAATACATTTTGATATTGGACATAAAGGGAAGTTCTAGGAGACAAAGCTTCTTTGTTTGCTAAGAAGTGCAGTTTTCTGAGAAGCACATCTCATAGTTGTTCAGGGAGACAGTGTTAAAGGTACAGGTGCAGTATTTCAAGCAGTTTTTTGTCTGGCTTAATGTTTCCTAAATGCAAAGGCTTGTAAGGTTGCTGTTCCATACAGGACAATTCTGTGAATTTATCATTTGAGGGAGACCAACAGAAGCAACTATGTTTAAGGAATGTGCTGTCACAGAAAAAACCTAGCTTAACCCCATTTTAGTATTTGAGTAAAAACTTTGTTACAATACCAATTGAGACTGGATATCTGTACAGTCACTGACTTTATGATGACTATCAATCTGAGAAATACAGTAACATGGAAATAAGGCTTTTTTCTCTAATCTCTATCAGAGTAATCCATAAAAATCTTTTGTTTAATGCATTTGAAAATGGATGTGAAGATTAAGGACAAACTAATTTGAAAACTTTTTAGGGAAGGAAACTAAAATATACCTTTAACTAGTGAGGTGCTGTGTAATTTGTTAGCTGTCCTGTAGCTGTAAGAGTAGTGTAACTGAGTATCACAGCAGTGCATTTGTGCACATCCACAAATTTCCTTGTTGGACTATCTACAAACAGAGGCAAAATGAAAATAGGTCAAGATAGCATAGAAATAAAATGCTAAATAGATCATGCCCTACATGAACTGAAAGTGTGAGCTTTTGCCGAGCTGCCATTATTTCTCAAGTTTATAGATGAAGGAGTACAAATATGCAGTTGTAGGTTCAACTCGCTAAAACCTCATTTTCTATAGTTGGAAACAAATTTTTCTTGGCATGAAAGTAAGTTACAGATACTGAGATTTTTGCACTGTACAGTTACCTGATGTCTTCATATGAACAGCCAAGATGTTTTGGTGATCATGTATAAGTATTTTATTTATTTTAATGAAACTTAAAATGTTAATGAAATTTAATGATTAATGAAAGAGATTACTTATCAAAATTTTCATTTACTTATCTCAAGAAAAACACAAACTTGGTAATCTTTCATATGGTCATGGTCATATATGTACAGAATCACTGTTCAATCAGATGCAAATTAATTTCAGAAGAAGACGTGTTACCTGGATTTGGTTTTCCGGTTTTATATTGCTTGGAATTGAAAAATCTAAAATAATAAACATTATCCATCATTAAAAAGTTATGCTCATGCCTGAACATTTGCAGAGATTAAGCAGTAATACTGAATACAGCTATGTCAGGTCCTCATCTATTATCACATGTACTCAGCTGGGCTATACCAATTTTATTGGCAAGGATTGGTTTGAAAGTCCTCAAATTCATGTCACTAAATTCCCTACTCTGGTGCTATATTGATTTTTTTTTTTTTTTTTTTTTTTTTTTCTTCTCATTTGCTTGCTCCTTGTACGATTTTACTTGGATAGTTCATCATTAGTGAACATCTAGCAAATTAGAAAGTTAATTGATAACTTCGTATATTTCCTGGGAAGCAGCTGCTTTCTACAATACTTAGCAAATTTGCCATAGTCCTGATCATTCACGTACAATATGGATTAAAAATAGTCAAACCAAGACAAGCAATGAGTGAAAGAAGCCTCAGAATAGTTTATAGTTTTACCTAGTTAAACTAGAACCAAATATTCATTCCGTTCCACTCATATTTAGCACAAGTGTACTCTTATACATTCACAAAGTATGTTACAGGTAGACATGGGGAATTCTTTTAAGATCGGATTTAACGAGGTTTGGGATATACAAGGTATGATTAAAATCTGTGGAGCAACGATTTACTTCTAACAAGTCAGTGTAACAGGGAAGTGAAGTATATAGATCACAGACTGATAATGGCCTATTAGATCATTTCAAATGTTCTTCTAAAACTTAAAAGTTTTAATTTAGAAAAGACATTAACAAGCTTACTCTTGAATTATTGGTGCAAGTTGAGTGCCAAGATCTTCACAGTGAAACCATCTTTCAAAGAGCACATTAGTTGATGTTCCCACATAGTATCTGACAAAGTGAAAATATTAGTCTTTTATTAACTGACAGATCAGGTAGTTTGAGTCTTTTCAGGAAAACAGCTACTTAGTGTGCATTATTCTCAAGATTGGTGTATTCTGTTTCAACACCTGGCTATTTAGGGAAGCTTTACACTTCCTTGATTAGCTGACTGATGGGGTACTTAAACATGTGTTGAGAGCCTAGGAGTTTTGCTGATCAACCATAGATAACTCACCAAATTCTCTTCACAAACTTTCCAGACTTAAAAACTGGAAAACCTGACAGAATTAATCCCAGGAACGTAACTGGTCCATAATACTTTAGGATCAATAGCTCTTGCTTTAGGTAAAGTTACTACAAAAACAACTGTTATCAAATACAGTTCCCAATAACTGTTTCTGTTAAGGTATTAGATAAATATTCCTTTTAATAGTCCACTTGCTTATTGTCTGTGCATGGGGTGGTAAGAATACAAGGTTGTTTGCTAATATTGATAAGGCTTACAATTGCATAAATTTGAGAGATATTTAGTTCACCCTCCTAAAAAGGAACTCGGTGTTTTACTTGCATTATTTTGGCTTAACAGTTAAATTGTGCAAAGATCAGTGGGACAAGATAGTTGTAGTCTATGGAATGGCACACACTGAATTTACCTACAAATTTTTAAAAAATATGTTAAGGCAGGGATGTTTCAGTACAGTTACGTATTACAAGAGATTGTAAGTAGATCTTGTGTCCTTCGGGTTAGTGACTGGAATTAATGTTTAAAGAGGTAAACAAGGCTTATAAGATTATATTCTGGTGTATTTATGTTAATCATGTCTGTCATATGACTATAAGAGCATTGCCAGAAATTTTCCACAAGCTCCCTAGTTCAAGTTTTGCAAAAAGAAAGTTCTTGGAAGTGAGAAGCATCATTAATGCCTCCAGTGTGGAAAAAGCTGTGCTATGAGCACAAATTTTGGACACCTGAAAATCTGCAAAGAAAAATGTTACAAATGTCTTAGTCTAAGAAAGCCTATGAAGGGCTTTACAGCTTCTGAAAAAGTAAAGAATCCAATCCGACATCTAAAACTAACTTATTTACCACAAGATTAAGTTTTACTAATGCATTTTTTATTATAAAACAAAGAATGTTAACATTAATTAGGCTGAAACTCTGGGACATGCTCTTTCACTTGAATAATAATCAGCATGCTGGGGGCTCTGATTTATGACTGAAGCTTATAGGCATGGTAAATAATGTAATGGCAGCATCACGTTAGTCCTTAAGTCAGCATGCTTCAAAGCAATCTTTTGCTGTTGATGAGTGGAAGTTTGACAAGAACAGAAGCTCTGGTTGTAAATCCCATTTCCTAGCAGTGCAAACAGCCAATGTCACTTCAAAAATAAACATGACTTTTACTTCCTAAACTTCGGGCATCTTTTTTCATAATTTCAGTGTAAAAACACTTCAGTGATTTTTCAGGTACCTGATTAATATTTTCAATTAAGAGCGTGTTTTAATTATTTTTCCACCTGCTAACCATATGCTTGCTTTTAATTAGTTTAAATTTTCCCCAAGAATATGACTGTATCACAGTGCAAGTCCCTACTTCTATCTGCCTTGGAAAGCTATTTAACATCTATTCAACTTATTCTACCCCCAAATCTCATGTACAAGATGCTGTTTTATTTGAAGTTACATAAAGCTACTTAGGTCTTTTATTTTAAGTAAACATTGTTTTCCAGATCACTAGCTAGTTTTCAGCTCACACTATCTTTTTTAATAATGCCAATATTCAGAATTCAGGCCTGCTATGAAAATAATATTTTTTTTTTTTTAAAGTGCATAGATAAATGCTGTTTCAAGTTAGCTGTATTTGTTTTCAGCTTGGAATCCATTCCAGTGACTTTTTGAATTGTCCCTTTCTTAGTTTCCTTTCTCTTTATATTTTTGTTTGAATAAAAAGTATTTCTAGCTTGCATATTCACGGTCACCCTGCTATGATACAGCTCATGCACATTCCAAAACTGTAGGTGAAAAGACAGAAACAGTATGTTACAGACCTTGGTGAAATTTTAAATCTTTTTGAATTACATGAGTAACTATAATCTCACTTTGGCCAGTGTCCATTTAATATAAAGCCATCTTTTCTGTCTGCCATGACTTGCCCTCCTAGCCTCATGAAGGCTATAAGATAGCAGAACAAGGCTTATTCCTGCTCCCACTAGAATACTAAATAAAACTCTCATTTATTTGAAGACATTGTTCTCGTACAGCAATGAAATCTAGGCAGATGTATTTACCATATAGAGATGTTAGCGTTAAGAAAACTGACTTTTGTTTCCAGCTACCCGCATGCTTGCCAGAAAAGCTCATTTTCATTTTTTGCTTTCAGTGCTTAAGAAGAAATTAATGTTCAACCTGCCAGAACTGATAGAGAAATCTTTTCTGATCTGTACTGTTACAAAGCTGAGACTTTAAAACTTCAAATGATAGCAGTAAGTAATATATACTTTGATAGCTATAATTGTAGCATATATTGTAGGGACATCTCAATCTGTTCTTTGCTTGACTAAGTCAAATACTGAATGAGATCTCTATGTATGTGTGTACAGATAAATAAATTTGTGGACAAAAGTATAAAAATGCCAGGATAAATCTGTTATATTATCAAGGAACTGAAACATAGTATTGACAATTGTATTGACAAGATAAATTAATTGAGCATTATGAATCTTAACAGATTTGCCAACAATTATACTTTACCTGAGCCCATCCATTTCTGTCTTTTGTCTTTGCCTCTCAATTACAAGACCTACAGTGTCTGCATATCTTTGAGGAGAATGAGGTATTCGGGCAGGTAGGAGAAACATCTGTTCAGACAGAAGAAATAGGAAAGCATCAATGTTAGGAGGTCTCTGTTTCATCTGTAGTCCTTCTGCTGCAACCAACCTGTAAAGTCTTTTGTTCACTGCCATGCTTTCCTGCTACTCTGTGCTGATCTATGCTGTTCCTTGCAGCTGTATTTAATTCAGTATCAATAGCCTATAAGATGCTGCTTCTTGCTTTCTCAGTGAATGATGACCATTGATTCAATAATCAGCACTGCCTCTATTGCAGCGTGGTGCTCTCCTTCCCAGCTTGATCATCATTGCTAGATACAATTAAAAGAAAAATCTAACCAGTTATTCTATGTGGAATATTTAAAAAAAATGTATTTACTGCAATTTCTCAGTAGCAGAAATAGAAACAAAAAGCAAATTGGTTGTCAGCTCCAGATTTCTAAACTAATCATTCACAGGTGTCCCTGCAACATAGCAGACATGACTGCACAATGAGGAGTGTTATTCTCCAGAAATAATTAACAAATACGAGGGACTACTAATTCATGCAAGTGTCAGAAAAAGAATAGGTAACATTTGGCTGGGAGAAGACTTTTACTGAAGTTTGAAAGCAAATCTCTTTCTAGCAGCTATGTGACTGTAAGAAGGCAGTAAGGCTGTGCTGTTCTTGAGTGCAAATCACTTCAGTTTCTGTCTGCAAGGCAGAGCTAACAGTAGTACTTCACAAGGGCTGGTGTCAGCCTTCCCACTAAGGCTGCTGTGTGCTTCTTATTAATTCTTCTGGTACATGCCAAGGTGGATGTACTTGCCAGTGCAGAGTCTGTTACTGAGATCTCCTCATCTACAGTTTGAAAGCTTACATCTTGTTTTGTTGTTGAAAAGGTGGTAATATTTCTTTTTAGTGACATTAAGTTGTTGGGTCTGTTACACTTACTTTTCCTTAAAGAGTGGTCCCACAAGATCTAATATTTAATCCCTTCAAAGCTGAATGCAGTTCAAGCTTTGGACAATAATGAGTAGCAGTTGTAAAACATCTTCAGCAGTAACATCAAGAAAAACACCTAGTCACAATCTCTTTAACAGTACTGAACTATGTGCTGTAACAAGGCAGCTACTATGTAGAGAAACATCTGAATACAGTTGGATACGCTTTATTTATAAACAGATTTTAAAACTGTTCTGATGTTATGATGGTTGTGAAAGCTAGTGATTAGAGATTAACTGTTACTGAAATCGTGAGATGTTGCACAGAGCATTACAGTTTGTTAATTATATGGAATTTGCATATGGCATCCAAGCTTTTATTACTTTTTTTTATTAGCCCGATGTCACATGGCAGTGATAAATTGGTCTTGAAATACTTCATAAAATATTAACATACCTATGTAAAACAACAAGAGAAAAACAAGAGAAAAACAATCATGTTTTACCTCCCCTTCTCTGATGACAATGTCTTTATGCTTCTTATTTTCTATTATCTTCAAGCACATGTCTCCTTTCACTTGGTAAAAAAGCTGAATGAATAGGAAAACATTAGGTCAGGTGTTCCAAAGAATTCTGTACTTCATCTTCTGTATAGAAAGGATATATGTACAAATACATTCAGCCTGTTTGCAAATAGATTCTAACTTCCAACCTTAACTGTTTTTTAAAATTTTATGAAATACGTATTATTTCATTATGTGCACATATACATATGATGGTCTGTAATTGCTTGAAGAGCTCTACCGTGAATGCAGTGAAACCCCATTCCACTGTATCTATTTCTGGCAATTACACTCTGTAGGACTGGGACTTTATGGTTGAGATACCTGTTAATTCAGCTGGATATAAAGCTTCATTTCTGCTGTTTTTCATTACAGATGCATCAAGGTCTTCACTGTTAAATTCAGTCTAATTAAATACTACTTTTTCCAAATATGCTCCTAGTATGCATGCCCATTTGCCTGAGGTGTGTGGTGTTTATTATTTTTTTCCCAGAGCTTTCTCATGTGGGAATAATTGCCCATATAGAAGCTGTTCTGCTTTATTTCTGTGGATACTTTGAAGCCCTACAACAGCTGCTCCTCTATGTGCTCCTCTGCCTACTGTGTATGTAAAAGGATTATGTTCTAAGCTTACATAAGGACAGGACCACTGAACTTGCAATTCTGTCTTCAGTGACCTTTCCATAGTTCTGTTTTCAGAGTAGCTTTCCTGGGGCTCTGAGGTGCCTAGATCTGGCCTCAAGTTTCATGGCAGAATTGTGCTAAATCTGAAAGCGGGTCTGTTATTTACCAGGAATAGGTCCCTCACTGACCCAAAAAGGAGTGCATTTTTATTAATCTTGCATAATAATGGACAACAATAATCCAAACAATCAACTTTTCTTGTTTAGACATGCTTCTACATACTTCTCATATTCTCTGTGCCATAGCTAGAAACCAAACAAACCCATTTATGCAGTTGTTGAAATTCAGGTTGAAATTGCCTGAAATCTGATTCAAAGTTAAAACTACAATGAAACTTTTGATTTCTAGTCACTAACTAAAATTTTAGCAAAATGGAAATAAAGAGCTGATGAAAAACAAAGACAAAATAAACCATCCAAGTATAACAAAAACCATCAACCAAGCCTTTTCCACCATTAGAAAAGATTAATCAAGTTTTTAAATCGGGTTTATTTGCTGAAAGTTTTGAGATATTGATTGATGCATTTGTCTGAGGATCCAAGGAACGCCTTTATAAATCTAAGAATAAACACACTGGCAAAGGAATGAAACAGCGGAGAGAACTGAATATACAGAATACACACTGGAAAAAAGCTCATGCAGAGAGCTTTTATATGAGCTCACCTTGTACCAGACAGATAACCATGGCTAAATTATAACTCTCGTCTAGGTGGCCACAATACCCGGCTGCTTATCCTCCTTGTACTCTATTTCGCTATGTTCTCCTCATATCATTCTCTTGTGTGCTACTGAATGACTGTATAAATGTGACGGTAGCACTCATTACTGAGGATGTCAGTCAAGGCTAGAACTGCTCACTGTAGAACATAAACCTCTCCTTTTTTGTAAAGACTCACCTTATCTAAAACATAAGATCCTGATGGATTATCGCACAGGCCCTTGTTAGTATGCCACTGGCAATACAGAAATTAAAAGATCCCTTTTGAAATGGTGAAATTTGGAGTGGTATCTTCCCTATGACTACAGAAGGAGCTACTCCTGGATGCTTTGAAGGAAATGCTGATGAGGGGAAGAACAGAAGAATTTTGTTGCTTGTGATGGATAAGCATCTTTCTCGTAATGGAAACGGAAGAGGAAAGGGACCATTCAGCTCAATAGTAGAGCATTGCCGTCAATAGGAAAGATTCTTAATACAACATTAAATTTCAATTTAAAGAATTGTTTTGTGGTGGGAAAGGAGGAGTGAGATGAGCTATGCGTTGTTAATAGAAGTGTTTTTCTGTCTGAATTTAATACTACCTTTCATTATAAATTATAGTCTACTCTTCAAACTTTTTGGGGGAAAATGTCAGAACGATTTAGTCATCCATAAATTATCTGATGTCACTCTGCAAGGTAGTGATTACCGAACCTACTGATGCACTTATATTATACCTGAACTTTATTGAAGAAACTGTCAGCTTGTTCAACAACTCAGTGAGTTACAGCCCATGCCTATTTCACAGGACAGTTTGCCAATACAATATAACCTTGCTATTTTGCTGGAACTTCAGTCTCTCCTCAGTGCTTACTAAGCTTTGCATTTCAACCTCTTCTGATGCACCTCTCCTAACCCCTCCTCTCCTCCCTCCCCCTTCTCCCCCACAAAAAAATCCACACCTAAGTAAGGAAGTGCTGGTGGGTGGGTGTGATCATACTTCATACTGGATAGTGTTGTGTTAAACTTCAGTGGAAGGCAGCAGGATCAGTGCTGAATCAGTGCCAAGTCTGTAAAAAGCTATTCCACCCCAAATATGCAGTCTCTGGCTGGCATTTCTGGCAGAAATTAGGTGGAGATATGGAGAGAGAGGATGTTTACTTCAGTGAGAGAGTAACCATAGCTACTTGTCTTAGTAGGAATTCGTTTCACTAGGGGAGCAGAAAGTATAAATATTACCTTCAAAACAGCAGTATCATTCCTGCCATATGAAAGTTGTGGGACTATTGTCCTTTCATCCAGATGCACGCATCTTAGCAGAGTAGTAAAGGAAGTCATAAGGGAAGAACACACTATTTCTAACTGGTTTGCACAGACCAGCTAGAAGTCTATTTCATGTAAAGCTGTGCAATGACAGTGAGTGTATGGCTTGCTAACTTATATCCAATGTTGACATCAAGCTCTGCCTAGATATTGTAGCTCACAGTTTCGTGAGTGCTTCTATGGCTGAGCACTTGTAAATAAGCATCTGTAGACAACTGCAATTTGCAGCGTACTTTGTGTACCGCTTCTGAAAGTGAAATTTGGGATTGCTCAGCCACTTCTGGGATTAGGCTCTGACTAGGCACATTCTGGCTTGTGTTGCATGTTAGATTGTTAAATACTGAACTAATTTGAGGAGCAAAGCAAATTCTGATATGGGAGTAGAGTCTCTGTGTTCTCCAGACTTCAGTAGTGACTGATCCATGTGAGCAGAGAAAAACAACTTTTCTCCCTTATTCGTTACAAGTAAGGTAATCAGCCATCAGAAGTTAGGGAGGTAAACAGATGAAACAGGCAAAGAAAACTATGTTGTCTTTTTTTCTCATTTGCACATCACCTGTGAAACATGAATACTAGCCAAGTCTCATCCCAACAACTGTCTGCAGCAAACATTTCTAATTTGCGATCTTTCTGATGCGAAAGGATCATTATTCTCACTGCTTTGTAATAATAGAAGCTTTGCTTCTTATTACAATTTTCAAAGAGTTTTCACCAGGTAAAATGTGTTTTTTAAAATACAGGTAGCAAAAAAGGTTTATCTTGCTTTGATTCATTTTCTCAATTTTACTAGAGAGAAAAGCACTATATCTATGGTATGGGGGTCCAACCTTTTGTCTTGCCTGGGCCTCACTGAGTAAACAGGAACTGTCTTGGGTTCCATATACATGAGTTGCTCCGAAAATAATTTCTGTAATTTCCATGGAAAACTACACCAAAGAGCACAGTAACACTACTTGATAGAGCAAATTCTCAGCTACGAAACACTGTTTTCAATACAGTCACCACCATTATATGAGCTTTTTCAGCAGTGCTGAATAAGAGCCTGCATGATGGAATTATTAAAAAAAAAAAAAAAGAAAAAAGAAAAAAGAAAAAAGAAAAAAATCTGCACCAGTAAAGGTGGCCCACTGTTGCTACTGCTTAAATGTACTTCCCCACTAGCTCCCTGTGCTAATATCGGCTTCTTGGTCTCCATAAACATTCAGCATTGATAAATGTTAGCAGGTGACATTTTTTCTCCTTGGAGGAATTCAGTGATGCACCTTTGCTCCATACACGCTTCCATGTCAGACACAATTTTGTCAGACTGCCCCTCTGCTGCCACCTATCACACAGAACAACATGCAACAGGATATTGGTGGGAAAGTTCAGCATCTCCTACCACACTACCAACATCTGCCTCTGAGGTTGTGGCAAACATAATAAAAAAAGAGGCACTACTTTTGGAGCAGCCATTGTAAAATATACAATACTGTTAGTGTTTAAATAATAAAACATTTTGACTTTTAATATTTTTCCTAAAGCATTAAAAAGAGAGGAACCAAAACAAAACTGGGGGGATAGGTGACCCTGTTTTTGTGAAACTAATGCATCAGTCTGGTTTGATGGCAGTGACTGCAATTCTTAGTGAGCTCTCAAGGCAATCATCAGACTTCTGATTAAGTTTTACTCTCCCTATACTTTATCTTTGACAATTACTCACAAACGTATGTACTGCCAAAAAGCGATGATGTGAATAAGCTGTGGTTGGAAAGTGAAGACTATTTCTCTCTGGTAAGAGAGGTTGAAAGGGAAAGCACGGCTGCCTATTCTTTGCTGTTTAGAGCACTGTATATAGCCAGTGTATCAAAACGCATACCAGCTGTATTTGCTATCTCTTGAGTCAACGCTGCCCTGCCCAAGCCCTGGTTTTAATTGACATGGTATTAATAGCACACTGATGGTTTGGCCATTACTGAGCAGTGGGTGTGTGTATGGGGCCACTATGTGGGGAAGAATCAATGTCTTTATAGCGTGGAGCTGCAGGCTGGATGTGGCTGACCAACTGGAATGACTGTCAGAGACCCTCCCCATTGACATCTGTTATCCCCATAAAATCTAGAGGTAAATTGAAATTGCTAGGGGAGAGTTTCTCAAAAGCATGCTACCTAGCATAAACTAGAAGAAGGGGACAGCCTTCACTTGAACAGATTTGTCAGAAATTGGAGCCGTGTCCTATTTGTGGTATGTATGTGAGGGGGAGAAAAAGAGAAAACAAAGTTCAGGTTGAGAAATGCAGATGAGCTCTGATAGACACATCCATATTGTATTTCAGACACAAATGCATCTCAAGCAGAAAGGGAAAATACGCTAGAAGAAGCTGAAGGGACTGGCCCAGGTAATTAGATGAGAGGGAGATTTCCATACTGAGACTCCTTTTCAGGAGAGTGATGCCAAGGCTCTGATCTTTGGGGCTGAATCAGTATGTAGCTGGTTGCATCTATAGGAAACAATCTGGCTTCTAAGAACAAAAACTTTAGATGGAATACAGCACAATGAGAAGCAGGGCTTTTAAAATCTAGTGCAATACTGTGCCAATACAAATGTGTTGCAGGTGGCAGGTGAAAGGCTGATTTGAATTTCTCTGCATGGAAATGCACAGTTATCTCTAGACTCAACATCAGGTGTGAAGAGAATATGGATTGTAGCAAAATCAAAAGTAGTTCTTTGAGATTCATTTTGTGTAAGTGGTGGACTAGAGTAGGCAAAGAGGAGCCTAACTAATTTTGGGATCCCACATTTAGAATATCTCACCTTCCCCCAAAGCAACCCACCCAATGCAATAAATAAAATCTGAAAATGATTTTACTACAGTTAAGTTTTGTTATGATCATGGCTTTTTATGAGTCATTAACTTTCTCTGAAACTAATAGTTCCCTTCAGCTTTCACTTACCTTCTTTCTGGGAAGCTGTAAGATGAATGAAATAAAATTAAGCTCTTCCCCTACTCAGGCTTCTCAAGTAAGCAAAAATGTAGTAAATACACCATGAATTCTGTGAGCTGTGTAAACACCTTAACTCTTTGTGCCACAAATACATGATGTTAGGGCTGCTATACAAACTTTCAGTACTTCATATAGGATTCATACAAAAACTTGCTATATAAAACAAACGCTTTCTTTTTAGTACACACTAAGGAAACTCTTCCTGCATAGCTATCTAGGTGCTTTCTCACAGGATTTTGCCATGCTTTAAGAAAAGAGGCATTTTCCAAAGCAATTCAGTTTTGCTTGAAGTCTGTTTGAATAAAAATTTTTTTTGTTATCCCTGTCCTGATGGAGAAGGCTGCAAGATGGAGCTTAAAATTTGTATGAAAAAAAAAAAAAGAATATGACAGTCAAAAATTCAAGCCAAAAAATGTCAATGGCTTATCTCTTATAAGGTGCAGCTTAATTTTGCTATTTATAAAATCTGTCCAAGGGAAAACAACATCCTGTGTAGGAGACAGTATTTCTGTGCAGACAGATTGCAGCTCAGTAGTGCACAGAAAATTAGGAATGAACAAATTGTAAAGCTACACATATAGGAACTGCTGCTTGCTGAGAATAGGAAAAAATTGTGCTAGACCAGCCACTGTTTCAGTCTGCTTGATTATAGACTCCAAATGAAGTGACCAGACTCTCAGTCAGCCATCAGAACAGATTTTTCTGATATACCTGCATGCCAAAGGTGCCAGCAGACAACAGCTCGGGAGGAGGATTCTCCCAAGCAGTCATCTCTGCGTGTCAACGGCTTCCTGCTGTGAACTGCAGGCTGACTAGCATGCCTGCCATGAGGTACGAGCTGTGTGTGGTGACAGACATAAAATCATGTCTAAACAGATATAAACAATTCTAAATTAACTCTTCTTTCCAAACCAAACCTTTTTGCCACCAGGATAATGGTAAAAAAGGGCCAGGTATATTTGCCAAGAGCATTATGGGGTTTTTGCATTCATGATTTGGCCTGTAAACACTATGTCTCTATTTTGGGTGTCGAATTATCACTTGGTAATATAAATAACATTTTCTCTGCCAAAATAATTGTTGAACGCTGTTTTGAATCTTTTTTCTATTTCTTTTCTTCTTTTTTTTTTTTTTTTTTTTTTTTAATCCCAAGTATAGTTCAGGAATACATTCTTATACTAGGAAGATCTGTTTCTTTTCAGTGAAAAACCTGGGCTTAAAGGATTAATTAGATCACAGGAAGTTGGAATGTCTGATTAAAAAAGCTCTTGTAAAATGCAACATCTGACTGTATTGCATCTGTGTAAAAGCTATGGCCCAATTTATTCTGATACTATGAATTCTCCTATGGTATGGAGTACAAATTGGATCCATAATGGTGCTTTTATGCTTCCATTTTTAATCACTAAGTAATTGTAGAAGAATTGCTATATAAAAGAAAATGTTAGGTATCAATACACCTGCAATGACTGAATTAGTAATAATTTACATACTGCAATAATTTACAGACATACTGATGTAAACTATATCTCTAAGGGTGTAGCTAAATTTTATACTGCTAAAAAGTCATGGAATAGATTTAGGCTTACTAAGGGCAGGCCAAATTCCTCTCCAGCACATCTAGCAAAGAAGAAAAACTGATGTAAATAATATTCGATAATCAGTGTGGGTCCCTTTCAACTCAAGACATTCTATGATATTCATCTGAGTTTTGGTTTAAGGAAAGGGGAGGTAAGACATTTTAAAAATGAAACCAGATAGGAATTGATCAGGGACAAAGGATAAAGCAGTATAAACTGAAAGATGCAGGGAGGGATGAGACCATAAAGAAGAGGAAAACATATAATTATTGTCTTTATACCCCTTCTATGGAAGATAGCCTTGCCCCTGGCAGGGGAGGTGGAACTAGATTATTTTTAAGGTCCCTTTCAAACCACTCTGTGGATCTGTGATATTTAGTACTGTAGATCGTACTGTTATTCCAGATAAACCTAATCTTTTTGTTTTCAGTCTGTAGCTCTCACATTTTTTTTCAAAGCTGGAAAATAAAGTAGTTGTACAGAACCTGAAAGGCTAAGTTAAGGACAAAAACATATTTGGACTCATTCACTTCTGTGCCTAACTTGGTTTCATGCTTTGCTAAACCTTCATGTTACTGACCTTTAGAAAATCCACTCTGTCTTCGTAATCTAACTTGTCAACACTTACCCTCCTGTTATGGCATACTGTTATAGATGAGATATTCTTTTCGGTGCTTTCTGAGCAGTCAGGCTACAGAATGTGGTACACGACCATGTTGGCAAAAACAAGTTTTATTTTCTTCAGCTAAGTATCTCTGGAATTTTCTTGTTAAATTCATGATAGATGAGAAATTTTTCTGGCTAGCAACAATAACTTGGTACCACGCTGCCCCGCTTCTCACCCCCAAACAACTTGCTGGTATGACACCAGGTGTGGTCAGGGCTGCTCCTATGCAGCTGATGAGAATGGAGCCAGCGAGCAGAGTCAGACAGGGCTGTGCCCACAGCTGAGTGTGGGTGGTGGGACTACTATGGTTGTGCAAAGCAGGCAGGTGTCAGACACCGATAAGATGGCAATTGATCTTTCAGAATAGTAGTTGTAATGACTACAGACAACTATGCAGCACAGCTCTAACAGAAAATGAGCTAAGGTTTCTGTGAAATAATTGAATTGTTCTTGTGAGAAATGATTTGGTGGTAAGTAAAGACAACTTTTTGTTTCTTTTTAAAAGTAATTCTTGAACTTAACATACTTCTCCTTAGAAGTGTATATAGATTCCTCGGCTCAATTTTCCAAAAGTGCTTAAAATAAGGTGGCCAAAATTTATTGGAATTGTATGAAATTAAAGTACAGTACTGGGAAAATATGCAAATAGTCTTCCATTCTAAAATCCTCATTGCCATGCCTCTACTGTGCCCTTTCCATTAAGACTGCAGAGATACATCTGTTACCTCTATACTAGTGCAAGCAGATAAGACCGTAGGCCTAGTGAAGAATTTAATTGTAAGGGCAGTAAATAAAGCCGATTGTAACAATTTTCTTTGGTTTCTACTCTTTCTTCCTATATTCCGCATTTGGCCCAATAACTGCTCATAACTCAAAGAAGTAGGATGACTTTCTTTCGTTACAGAAGATATGCAGAAAAAACGATGGATTTGATTCTTAAAGAATCTCTGTTATATACATTCCCACAAAGGTCAAGTCCACCCAAAATTCAAACCCTATGTCTAAGTGCTGTCCAAATGCTTCTTAAACTCTGGCAGGTGCTTCTTAAACTCTGCTGTGACCACTGCCTGGGGAACCCATTCATTTTGAAGTGTAAGAACACTTGATCTAGTTTCCCTTTGGAAGTTAACTATAGCAGAATAGATTTGATTTCATTGTATTTGTTTAAAAGGAAGTGCACAGACTGTGCTGTTCTGGTGCATAGTTCTGTTTAATTATTTGAATAAATCTAATAAATACTACACCACTGAGATTGGTGTTGTTTATTTGTAGCTTTAAAATTACCAATGTTCTAACCATACAGATCAATTAAAACAACAAAATATAAGTGAGTCATTGGTTACCTCTTCTCCTTCTTCAATATGGTAATCCTTTCTTTCGTTAGGCCCTCCAACAAACATCACATTCATTTGATATCGATGCCTAGAAAAGAAAAGTGACTTTTTAAAGCTAACTCTACACATAGCGTTCTTTCTTTCTATCTAAATTTTGTGGAGGTTTTTTTGTTTTGTTTTGTTTTGTTTTTTAATGTTTTGAGGACAGTATATTGGTGAAACAAGAGTGAGGAGCAACATCCAAAATTAAAAAGAGACCTAGAGCATCTTCCTTGTCTGCCACTGTCCACCTATTTCTCTTTCGGTATTTCAGTGCCTTCATCTATGAAAAGGGGACAAAGGTACTTATCACCAGTGGAAAGAGCTTTGAATTGTAAAGACAGAAAATGGTATGCAAGAGGCACAAAACAGGAACTGTCCTTTAAATGGGATCAGCCTGGAAAAGAGAAGGCTCTGAGGTAACCTAATAGTGGTCTTTCAGTATCTAAAGGGGATTTACAGGAAGGAAGGGGACAGACTTTCTAACAGGATCTGTGATGATGGAACAAAGGGAAATGTTTTCAAGCTCGGAGGGTAGATTTAAGTTAGACATAGGGAAAAAAATACAGTGAGAGTGGTGAGGCACTGAAACAAGTTGCCTGGTGATGCCCCGACCCTGGAGACTTTCAAGGTGAGGATGGATCACGTCCTGAGTAACCTGATTTAGCTGTGAATGTTCCTGTTCATTGCAGGGGAGTTGGGCTAGGTGGCCTTCAGAAGTCCCTTCCAACTCTAAGGATTTTATGATTCTACAAACTATCAGCTTCTTTCTCTTCTTTTTATATTGCCTTTGCTGAAGTGAAACTGCACTGCAATGGTTTCTTTATGGCTGTGGATGATTAAAAAAAAAAAAAAAAATTCAGGAAAATTTATCTTAATTCTGTTTTTGAGAGTGCCAGAGAGCATTTCTCTCAGTTTTCACAAAGAATAGGCATCACCCCAATTATCTGTCAGTCAGTCTATATTAAGAAAGAGATAATGTAAGTTTTCCGTTTTCTTTGTGTGGCAAAGCCTCCTATAGTCCAGAATTGTTAACTGTGATTCAAAATTTGTCCTAAAGAACCTCTTTGATGTGTTAGCTGAAGGATGCTGACATCTACGTTAATAAAAAGATTTTGGGTAGTATAGAGATCATAAAAATGGACATCATAATAATACAGAACCAGCAGGTCAGTGGTCCACTGCAACACAGGGAAGAAATATTTGTCTCTTTGTCAGCTCTTCATAAGCCTTCATTGAGAGAAGAACTGTGAACATCTGAATGTATATATTTGGTCTGTTACCAATGTCATGTTTACTTTGCTTTCTTAAATGCTTTACTTGAATGATAAAGAAAGCCACAGTAAACATTAATAAAAAAAAAATCATAAGTAATAGGTACAAACATCTCCTTTATCAAATTCAAGTACGAAGAATTAAATTAGATCACAATATTTAAATTGACTGTTAACATCATGGGAAGCACGTTACAGCACCTGGCTTAAATACCAATAACTTAAAATAAGGAAACAATCAAAGCTGTTTGTATTAGACGTGTTTAATATTTGTGCTCAAGGACACACCAAAATACTTCTGCATTAATAAATCTTTCTACTGAAGAAGGGTAGGAAGACCAAAACAACAAAAACACAGTGAACAGTTCATTAAATATATTCAAAGCAATGCTGGACAATAAGGGAGAGGCTATTTGAGTATCTTATAGCCTATTTTTAAGGTGAGTAAATTTTGAGAAACCCCCCAAAATAAATTGTTTGAGCCCCAAATTTAAACCAAAATTTAAAAATTTTAAAAATTTAAATCACTACTTTTATTGAGTCATTACAAGAGAAAACATTGCTTTCAAAATTATTCTTTAACTTTTAGTTACTTTTCAGCAAACCTGATGTTGGTTCTGTTACTCTATGGATTTAGCTGTTTTTTACATAATAAGCAGGCACTCATGAGTTAATTCTTCCTACTACTAACAGTTAAACAATAGCCCCATCAAAAAATTCTCACCATCAAATACAAGTAGGAACTCCAAGAGGTTTGTTTGTTCACACTGCTAAAGAAAGTTGTCCAGTTGATATAATTGTATAGAGTTAGGAAGAAAAAGCCATAAGAAATAAGAGGTTCAGTTAAGACCATCTGGGATGCAGTTAATGTAGTTTCAAAGTCAAAGGTTTCAGGCATGTGGAAATTACTTGATTGCATTATTTTTAGATTTCGAATGAGATGATAATCAATGACCTATTAAGTTTTACATACCCTTATTTCTCTTCCTAATCACATAAAGAAAATGTAACCAGCAGGCAACCTTTTAGAAATGTCTCAAGACTGTGAAGAATGAGATATTTCATGACTACAATGAGGTCTCTTTACTGTAAGTACCATACTCTGAACTCAAAGAGCTTTAGAGGTGCCTTAGTGACCCTGTAGAAATAGCTGTGTCGCAGGTTCTGATTTGGCACAAATTGTTCTTTGAGGTTAGAAGTAGTTAAGCTTGCAAGGCAGTGTAATTAAAATATATATCATTAAATTGCAGCTCTGACATTGTGTTGTTTTCTTGACTCTGGTAAAATTCTTAAGTAGATGGTGATTCAGGAAATGAGGTTTTGTTTCGAAATCCCGAATAGGTATGTAAAATGTTGATTTTCTTAATTGAGTGGAACATAAAAGAATAAATGTTTGAAAGCCGTAGCAAATGTATAAACAAAAAGTCCAACTGGTGTGCTGTAAGACTTAGACTTTAACCATTAAATATCTTTGAAATTTAAGTTCATAAGTTACTTAAATTTTTTAATATGTAGGCCACCTTGTGTTGTAAAGGCCATGAGAAGATTTCTTCGTACAACCGTACTCAGCACATAAATGATCAAGTCTTTGAAAATAATCTTGGAAATCTATTAGTTAAATCTTGGAAAACTGCCTAAAGCTTTTTGGAAAATCCTTAAAGCACCAGAAGCGGGTGATGAGACTCAGAATCTATGTAATACAAGGATTGTCTCTCCTCTTCCACAGACTGAAGTTTCAATTGGGGGAAAAAGGAAAAAAAAAAGAAAAAAAAAAGATTTATTTAATCTATGCAAGTTTTATTGTGAAAAATATCCTTTGTTTCAGTATGGCTTTTTGCAGTATTTATGGGGGAGACTCATCAACACTAACAGTTTAGGAACTCATGTAACTTTCTAATCTCTGATGGACCTCGTGCTTCACAGTTACTTCGGGATTACACAGAGCTGCTGGTAGATTGTGCAGAATAGTTCAGTAAACAAGAAGGTTCAACTTACTGTTAAGAAAGAAAAACATGAATGTTTCACATAAAATTTTACTGACATCATTGGTAAGCTTTAGAATTGACTGTGCTTTACAAAATGCTGCCTAAATCTGTTCTGAATGTGAAAGAAATGAGATCATAAAAAGAAGACATTTTCTTCTGTCACTCACTGTGAAACCTGTGGTGATTTGTTTCGTAATTTCTCAGTCAGAACATAGAACTTCAGTTTCAATAGCAACATGTCATTAAGGATGTGCATTTTACCTTTTTTATGCTTTGCAACCATAAATTTGAAAAGCAAATGTAACTGTGAACAGAAATTTATGTCATTGCTACGGTGCTGCTCATTCAGCTTTTCATTAGAGGTAGCCTTTCAGGATAGGGCAAGACATAAATTCTTTGCTTTTTTAATAATTAAAATCGAAAAGTAAGGAGAAAAAACAAGTTTTCTTGCTTGCAGGTTTTCTATCACTTCTTATAGATTATTCGCTCATGAAAATCTTACACACAGGTAGTTTTAGACTAAATACAGTGTCCTTGAATTCAGTGACAAAGGAAATCCCTGTGAATTTTACAACCAGATGTTGTCATGAATTTGACCATTTACACTGAAATTTGTTCAAGGACTTTGATACTGACAATATGCATGCTGTAAGCCTTTATAATGCCCACGGTATTTTTCCTCTGTTAGCTGGATAATTATTGAGTATACAGTTCACAGTTCTAAGATGCTAGTTAGTCCCCTCAAACATTGCCTGTTCAGCCTCATGCAGAACAGAGGGTCCTTCCCTGCCTTGTCAGCTCTGGAAATGCCATGGACACTGGAAATTCCTGCATTCCTCCTCTGCTTTTCTCCTTGTCTTCACATGATGTATCCCATCAGTTCTGATTGCTCTTGCATATGTAGTACCTCTGCAGCATCAGAATGTCCCCCAGCAGCTCTGATAGCTGCTGCAGGTTGTAAGACAGTACAGCACAAATCTCTTGGCTAGATCTTACCATTTATGGATGGGATGCCTCAGAAATCTCCTCAGATTTCTATGAGTTTATTGTCAGAGGGCCTGATGCAAAGTCCCTTAGCGGCCTAACTGCCTTACAAGCTGAAGTCAGGCAAGCATGCTCAAACTGATCTTCTGTCTAATCACAATGCAAGTTACTTCCTATTCTTCAAAGCTGCAGTATGTGTGACTGCTGTCTTCTGAGAGGAACTACATTTTCTTGCATTTTAACAATTTCCTCTTTTAGCTAAGAATATTTATATACTTAAAAACAACATAAAATACCCCTTCATTTACTTACATAAGCTTGTTGCACACAGGTGGTAAAAAGGCTGCCCTGTTTTCTTCTATCCATTGTCTGACATTCACAAGAAGCTCCATGGTCCACCAGCTACTACAAAGCTTTTGAGGAAGATGTTTGAGTTTGCACTGTGCTCTTTCTATAAGCAAACCACAGGCAACTTGGTCCCCAGAGCTCAGGATTGGTTGGTAGAGGAGGTGTCTTCAGGCTCAAGTGTCAAAGGGGACAGGTTCATCAGCCAAAGGTTACTTCTGAAAGAGTGCTAATGCTCAAGCAGCTTAGCTAATAATTGACAAGTGTTTTTTAAAAATGTATTTTCATCTGAGGCTCATTCTACCCAAAGGAAGTCGCTTCATTCTCTCAGCTGCATCAAATGTTACCTCTATACAGAAATTGTCTCATTACATTGAGTTATGAAAACTTGGGCACGTCTAATATAGAAACAGCAAGTTTCAAAGCTAAATGTGCTTTGAAATTCAAAGCAGTGCTCAAAGTTCAGTTACATGTGTAGAGTAAATACAAAATGTATTTTTGCACATAACTATCTATCTCTGTGTTTCAGGCTTAATAACAGCCCTATTTCCTTTTTCCACCTCCCTCAAGCTTCTTAGGCCAAATGATCAGGTATGTGACTGAAAATATTGGGAACCACATCTGCAAGACAACAAAAATAAATGTCTCTTGCATTTTTAACACTAAAAGCAGCTGCTCACAAATGTTCATTTTAATTAGTCCCACTCATTTCCAGTACTGTGGCAGGGCTCATTGGAGAGCTGACTGTGGTTCTGTGATGCCCTTAAGCAAAACATAGCATGCTATCATCAAATTAGCAGGCAAACAAGAAATGGATAATTATCAGGCATTCCTGGTCTGTATTAGTCTTTATCCCCCCATTAATTTATTTTCTGCATCTATGAAGTTCCTATTGGATTGCTCACTGCTTTCAGATCACCTCATTACTCCATTTTAACAACACTCTTTTCAGGTTTTGAATATATGAAATGGGTGATTGTAAAAAAAACAAAACAAACAAAAAACAAATCATGACAAAATGTCACAGCTTTTTATTTGCTCTTACTGCAGCTTAGTCTTGTGACAATATTTGTACTGTGCTCAGTGGGTCAGTGTGCGTGGGAGTAAGAGTATAGTATGATTTACTTAAAAGTGGGCTATATATCCTTGATGATGTGTGCCTATGGGCTGTACAACTTCCGGATTGAAGAATCAAGATACTGGAACAGTACACACTGGGGTATTCTTCAGCTTATACCAATGTAACTTTCCTACGAGAGGGGGGAAAAAAGGCAACAGAGTATGTGTTGAAACTAATTCTATAACTCTTGCTTTAGTAAGTATGAGAGTGACTCTGCTTTACTTTCATCTCTACTACTTCTTTGCAATTTAGTTTAAATTATTTATGTAATTGATCCAAGAAAATTCCACTTATTTTAGGAAAAAAAGATTCACATGGCTTATAGCTCTGTTACATTATTATAGTCAGTATGGTATTGGCAATACTTTCCCCTGAAATAAGCACAAAGTACTTACTATTTCACTCTGTTATTAAAAAAAAAAACACAAAAAAACAACAACTAACATGATTTATTTAGTATGTGAAATTTCCACTGTTAGAATGACTAATGGTTGTGAGACATCACTACATAACATTCTGCACAGTTTTGGACCTACAGACAAGAACATTTAGGTGCTTTTTGTTCTGTAGGCTGCTGGCACACTATTTAGCTGCGAAGGAAAATGATCTTCCATTTAAAAGGCATTTTCACTGAGAGGATTGTGACCCAGCCAGGAGAACTAAAGGCACTTTTAATGACAGTGGTTTTGTAAAGCTCTACCTCATCATTAGTAACGGATTGCAGAGCAGGACTCCATTTGTCAGGCATGAAAGCAAAAAGACTGTTCAAATTCACAGCAGGGAAAATCACATACTGGATTTGATAAAGCCAATATTAATGTGCAAGTTTTAACTGTAGGGTTATTCTGTCTCAACCCCCTACTCTCACCTCTAGTCTCCACTATTTTTCCCGCTAGGCAACATCCAAGGCATTATTACCTGCAGAGAACACTATCTCAGTATAAGCTGATAAATCCATTTTATGGCTAGAGTGAGGTATGAAAAAAAACCAAAACATTCAGGAGACCAATGAAGTTCACTTATAAAATTTACCATTGCTAGTAAGCAGAGGTGACTGTAAGAAGGCAGCATTTTTTGGAACCTTTTGAAAAATGCAATTAATGGGCTCTCCATTTTGTAGTGAACGTGAAGGAATGCTGCAATTTTTGCGGAGAAATAAGAAATGGTCTGTGCAGCCTGGAAGTAGTGGGCAACAAAACGCAATTTCTGTGCAGTGTATTGGAGAGGCAAAGACCAGGCCTAGTGCTGCAGTCTCAGTGAGACTCAGTTAAGTCTGTACACCTCATGACCAGATTGGGACCTGTAATTTTTTTCTTGCTACTCTGCTTTTCAGTAGCTCTTTCCATCCTTCAAAGTCTGTTCCAAAATCACAGGTTTCTACATTTGCTTTTGGCTCACATCCTTCCCTGTGGTGGGGAAGACATGGGTAAAGGCTCAAGATTTGTCAGCTTTTGCTGAGAGAAATGCAAGACTAGTAAAAGTATAAAACTAAAACGTAATCAATCTACCCTTTGCACTATGGGTGTGGGAAAAAGTGTTAATAAGGAAAAAAGCACCTGAACATGCTTGGTTTTTTGTTTTTCGTTGGTTTTTTTTTTTTTAGATCAGTTCTGTGTTTTTTGTGTCCGAAAACATTCTTCAAGAAACAATATGAATGAAGTACATTTCAAACTGAAAGCATCATTTATATATATATATTTTAAAACCCTGCTTATTTGGAAATAAAAATTCGAATTGGTAATAAACTTATGGAGGGAATCCAAGTGCAGTTTTCTTCCAACTTATGAACTGATTCATGTGGCCATGTTTTCACTGTTTTTTATTTGTAAACAAATTATCCAGGGCCTCAGTCAGTGTTGGTGGGGATAAATGTAAAAAAAACAGGTTGATCACATTGCAAAGCAAAAGGTCCTACAACATCTGCTTGGATCTTTACTATCGCTATCATTTTTATGGGAAGGCTGATTAAAATACAACAGCACTGATTCTAGTATATATAAATATCACAGACAGATTCATTGAGTCCTCCCTCTTGTCTAAGGCTGAGTCTGCAATAAAGATCTTATCTGTACATTCACAACTTCAGCTTTAATTCATGCTGACAATTCTGTACTTGCCAAAGATGCACCTGTTGGATGAAATCATATTCATGGCAATCTTTGTATAATTTATTTTATTTGGTAGTGTACTGATGTGCTAGTAAGGGTGATGAAGACAACTGCAGTGTTCTGGCATGCCGTCTAAACATCCACAATGATGTAAAATTGCTCTGAGAAATGAACTGACAGAAGATTTCTTCTCTCTGCCAGTCACCTTCATCAGTGGTTAAGATACAGTGGATATGTGTTACTTTGCCTGTCAATGCTGTATGCTACTGAATCATATTCTAAGTAACAGCCACAGTAATGGCACCAACAGCAGAACAGCTGTCATGACAGGCAAGAAGAGCTCTGTCTCCATTCGGCACAGCCTCTAAAGGTTCAGCTCATTTATGAATCTTGTGTGGGGGAGGAGGTACTGAAGCCACATGTACCTGACACTCAACCTTGGAGATCAGTGCCATCTATTTACTTAAAGCTGATTGAGTGCCTGTCACCTGCTGTGCGGGATCACGCATATCTCATTTTAGAGGCCATGGAAACCCAAGTGCTCCTGTAGCACTGCACAGCCATGCACTCTGTTATGACAGGTCTGGAGCTTGTTGTTTTGCCTATAGTAAAGCAGATGCAGAAAACAACCATTCTTTCTGGCGATTATGTCGGCAGCCCAGCAGAGCTGTCACACATCTAAATATGATGTCAGTGTGTAATGATGGGAGGAAAAATAGAGAGATTATGTCCTTGTGTCAACTGTGTAGCAGTTGTTAAATGTCTGCTGATGCCAATTCTGTTGACTATCTTCCTTCCACAAGTAGTGACAGAAGTGACTGCAAAACAAGTTCATGTTAGCACTGTACTTCAACAACAAATGCACGCATGAAGTTTTTCTAATAACTGTTTCTAAGTAATAAATCGTGTATATACTGTGCTGTTTCTGGGCATACATAATGGTTATATCCAGTGTTTTCATCTCAGCAGTCCTTCCGGCGTTCGGCCGAGCTTCTCGCGCTACAGGGAAAGCCCGGACTCTTCTTGCGGCCGCCATGCGGGTGGGAGGGCTTTCTGCCGGCGCCGCGGCTGCTCTCCGCCTTCCAGTGCTTCGTGGCGCCGCCCTCCCGAGGGCGAGGAGACCGCTAGCCCGTTTCTCCTGCAGGGCTTTGTCGCTGGTAACGGCGAGAGTGCTGCGTTGGCAGGAAGCCGAGGTGCGGCGGGGCCACGGCCGGACGTAGGGCACAAAAAAGAAGCCCGGTGCACTTCCCCCGCCCGGGCTGGGCGAGTGCTTGATAAAGCGTTCGGGAGGAGATGGTGTCAGGGCTCCAGTGGCGCAATCGGTTAGCGCGCGGTACTTATACAGCAGTACTAAAGCCGAGCAATGCCGAGGTTGTGAGTTCGAGCCTCACCTGGAGCACAGAGCTTTTTGAGAGAAAGAAAGGGCTTTTTTTAAGACCGCTCCTGAGGAGGAAATGGAGGAACTGATAAGCTTATGGAAAAATTATGTGCGGGCTTCTAAGCGTGTCCCTGCTGCCACGGAGGTGTGCAGCCATGTGTGTGGGCGGATTCCTTGTGCCTGTTCTAGAAGCGGAGGGGAAGTGGTCGCACACAGGGAGTGCTTGCAGGGGCACTTTTTCTATGCATTTGGTTGTGTAGACACATGCTTGCACAGATGTGTCTTTAATACTTTTATAGTGCAGCTTTTTAGTATGGAGTAGTCAACGTTTTCCTGGTAAAGCTCCATTTGCAACCTTGCAGGAAATAAAGGTTGCTTTATCGTAGCTTATTTCACACAGCACCAACTGTTGACTAATGCAATCACTACAAGCGATCCTTTCCTTTGGCTCCTTCAGCATGCATATTCACCGTAACTACTCGTTAATATGGTAATGTTTTGCAAATGTGTAGTCCACAGAAGGAAGGAAAAGAACTGAAATAATTTCAGATTTGCTTTTATAATTGGAGAA